ATGGATCAGCCGCCTCCTGCACATCCCCCACCGGGGATGTGCCCGAAACCCAGGTACATGCCCTTGACCGGAATCGAACCTGGGACCTTTCAGTCCGCAGGCCGACGCTCTATCCACTGAGCAAAACCGGTTTCGGCGAGTTAAGGGGTTTTATTCCCTCCCTAACTTCAGGGAAAAATCCCTACCTGGGGAAACAACCTTTCTCGGAGAGGTGACCTTGGTTAAAACACATAGCGCCAAGAAGGGGAGCAAACATATTAAGAACAGTATGCCATATACGCCAGGTCCCTTGAAACATGCTGTGCAGATGTTTCTTCCCTGCAGCGACTGTGCCAAGCAGCAAGGTTGGACCGGCTCCCGGCAGAGGCCAGAACCCCCACCCCCATCCTCCCAGCGGGTGGCTTTCTGGTGTCTGGAACCAGCATTGTCTGGGCACTGAGACCATGGACCCTGGAGACCCAGCCCTCGGGTCACCCAAGGGGTGGTCGAGGGCCTGGCTGCTCCCATCCCCGCTACAGCCTTCCTGCAGGACCAACATTCCTTCTCTCACGGTCTGCTCCTGGCATAGGAACCCCAGGTGGGACGATTGCCCTGAAGAGGCACCTCTAGGGGTCCCAGCAGATGCCCCTGAGTCACATATGGATGACGGTGGGAGGCATCTCCTAGAACCAGTTTCTCATATTACCCTCAACTGCCTCACCCCTAACCGAGTGCTGGGACCAGGAATTAAACCAGGGTTTCTGGAGGCCTCCAGAAGGGGGCTGATGGCAGCTCCCATGCTGCTCACACAGCCCCCACTGGCCTGCTCTGGGGGGACCCTGGGCCCCAGAACACAGGACCTCCCACATGACCACAGGCTGCTCCCCCAGATAATGAGCCTCCAGTGCACCCCAAGCTGCAAGCTCCTTCTGCTCCCCTTCAAGGCCATTACTCTGCCGGGAACAACCTCCCTCCCCGTGTGTGGCCCCCTCCCTCTGAGTTCTCACCGAACAGAAATTCTCCAGCTGTCAGATTCCAGATCTCTGCTTACTGGGCTGACACTGGCCTGGGGCTGCCACATGGGATCTTTCTGCTCCTCCTTAGTCTGCCTGAGAGCATGTGGAGCAGAGCAGGAATGCTGTAGAGTCCAGCTGCAGTGCTCAGGGGCCAAGGGAATTTCTCCAAGTGATTATTCCTCTTTTATCTCAGTTTCTTCATCTGTAAAATGGGCTAAGGCCCTGGTGCAGTTGTCCTGACATAGCCCCAGGAGCCAGCAGCCTCAGTACTTGTGGGAGTTGCTGTTCCCCACAGAATCTCATAGCCCTGGGCACATAGGTGACTGTTGGTTAATTAACCCATTCATTGGAGAGAGCGGCAGGATGTACTCCTGCTTCTCATGGGCAGTGCAGTGAATCTGGCAGAGGCTGCTAAGGAAACGGGCAGTCACCCGGGGAGAGAAATAAGAGCAAGAAAGGGAGCAGGTGGAAATGTAATCAAGCACAGAAAGAGTGAGCGCGTTTTTTTTTTTTTTCTGGGAGAACAGGAGGTGGGGCTATGAGCAGCGCGTGGACACGACTTCTCAGTCACAGTCACAGAATTCAGAGCTGGAAAGGGGAACCTGGAGATCACAGACCCCCACTCACCCCCACCCCAGGTGAAGCAGTGCGCCCCGGGAGGGTGGGAGTTAGAGGTGGGAGAATGGGCTCTTGGGACAGGCGCTGCCCCTCCCTGGCAGCAGGGCCCTCCCACCTTCTCCCACCCTCTCCCACCCTCTCCCCTACAGCCCGCCCAAGTGCTTCCCTTCTTCCCCCCAGGCTGCTCCAGCGGGGCGTGCATCTCCGTGGAAACCTTTGAAGACGGTGAAGGGGCAGAAGATATGGAGAAGGAGAGCAGCGCTCTGGGTGTAATTTATTTCCTGCTGCCTCTTTCGCATTCTCCCTCATTCCTGTTCAGCAGCTTCCCCGGCCTCCTCTTCCTCTCCCACCCCCTCGCCCTCCTTTTCTTGATTCTACCCTTTGAGCACCTGGCCTAGTCCGGGAAGCTGAGGCCACTGCCCCTGCAGAGGGGCTCAGACCTCCCAGCCCAGCGCGCCCCCCAGCGCCGGCTCCTTAGCAACGCGCTGGTTTCTGGTGGTAGTGAGGGGGCGCCTGGTGGGACCCTGAGTGGCCCCGTGGGCGAGCCGGGGTGGGCGAGCAGGGGTGGAGGAGCCGGGGTGGAGGA